TCCTCCCGGGAGGGCCTTCCTGGCCCGGCCGGCGCCGCCGAGCCCTCTTACGGGTCGTCAGTGTCTCGCTTTGACAGAAAGTCTGTCAAGGACGAGGCTCTGTGTGGGCCTCTGCCCGTGGATGTTGCGGTCGCAGGTCGGTGTCTTCTTCCCCACGAGCGGCTGTTTACTAGACAATGTGCGGCCTCCCTGAGGTGCGGCGAGTGAGCTCAGGCATCAGCGAGCGCTGTTACAGGTCAGCACCCCGCATTCCAGCACATGCCGAATCGCTCTCTTTTTTTAGATTTATTTTTAACTATGCATCACAAGAGGAGGTTGGGGTGGGGGGTGAGAGGACGCCCCAGAGACAGAGCGGGGAGCAGAACAGGCGGATCCACTGAAACCCTCTGCTGAGGGCGCAGCGGGGAGACAGGAGAGGTCTGCCGCGCCCTGGGGGTCCCCCCCTGGCGGGGATCGAGCTCGTGCTGCAGCGGCTGCAGCCAGCTTCACAGTGCTGAGCCTGTTACCCCCCTGCATCACCAGGGAGACCCCCAAATGTCACTTTGTAAAGCTGTTTGGAAGTGATAGACTCCTGCTGTTCTCTCAGTGCTCGCTTTTTCATAGTACTAGTTATGCGTGAGTCGTTTCACTTTACAAGCGTGCAGACGAGAGAACTATTAATCCTGTTGGCTTTTTGCGTAGTGATGGTGTGAGAAAATCTCTTAAGAGATGTGTGTTAAGGTACCTCAAGTTTAGAGACATGTTATCTTGGGTTTGCTCTGAAATATTTCAACAGGGAAAAGGAATCAGCAGATGTGGCCGAAATCCGGGGAACCTTGACCCAGCGTGATGTGTTTTCTACTGTCGTTTATTTCTGCACGCAGAAGTGGGGTGCAGGCCAGAGGCGCAGGGGTGAGAGGCTGCCCAGAGACAGCGGGGAGCAGAGCAGGCAGATTGACGAAGCCCACTGCTGAGGGAGCAGTCGGGGGACAGGAGGGGCTGCCGCGCCCTGGGGTCCCCTCCGGGCCGGGGATCGAACTCGCGCCGCAGCGGTTGCTGATAGGTTCATGGTGCTGCGCTTTAACCTGTTGGGCCACCGGGGAGGCCCCGCAAGTTTAGAAAGTCAAAGATTTGTTTTATCTACTTATTTTTTCTTTGTATTTTTTCTTTATTCAAACACTATCTTACAGATTTCAGTGTACACAGGTATCTCACCTTTTTTTTTTTTAATGATAGTTTATTTTTACATCATTTTGTGCCTTTGTCCATGTCAGCTGCCATCCCCGTGGGCTTCCCGCCACCAGATCACCCCGTGCCATCACCACAGTCCTGTGCACTCCCCTCCACTGTTTTTGATCCCATCCCCCACTCCTACCCCATACAATGCCTCTGGTATACAGCTGTTCATTATTATTATTATTTTCTCCCCTGGCTGACCCTTTATGCTCCTGGTATGAGTGACACCGTCCGGTATTTTTCCTTTTCTTTCTGGCTTATCTCACTCAGCATGACCCCTTCCAGCTCCGTGTTGCTGCGTAAGGCAGGTGTTCATCTTTTTGATGGCCGAGTAATATTCCATTGTGTATATGGACCACATGTTTTTAAAGATTCGTTTTATTTTATTTTTTTTTTAAAGATTTATTTATTCATACAGAACTGGGGTACAGGCCAGAGATACGGAGGGTGAGAGGATTCACCAGAGACAGAGCGGGAAGCAGAACAGGCAGATCGATGAAGTCCACTTCTGAGGGGAGCAGCGGGCGGGTCAGGAGAGGTCTGCCGCGCCATGTGGTCACCTCCGGGGCAGGCGGGGATCGAACTCATGCGGAAGTGGCTTTAGTTTCTCAGTGCAGTGCTTTAACCCGCTGCGCCACCAGGGAGGGCCAGATTCGTTTTATTTTAAGGCCTCAAGCAGGCAGCTGAGACTTGGAACCTCTCTGAGCGCCAAGTTTCATTCTGCAGTTAGAGCTGACCTTTGTGCAGACGAAAATACCTTTGGGAGCGGGAGGGCAGTGGGCTTAGTTTTCTTTTTTGCATACAAGAACTGGGGTAGAGGCCAGAAGCGTGGGGTGGGTGTGAGAGGACTCACCACAGGGCAGCAGGACAGGCCAAGCCAGTGACATGCACAGCCGAGGGGAGCAGAGAGCCACCCCCACAGCCGGGGTCACCCCCTGGCCGGAGATGGGACCTGGCCAGGCCGTGGTGACAGTGCTGAGATTTAAACAGCCCGCCTGGGAGGCCCCAGGCCCAAGGTAAGTCTGATCTTCGGCCCCAGACGCTCCATCGGGCCGCCCGGCCTTCTGCCTCCGCGGAGTCTCGGTTCTGAGGGCCGGAAGGCCGTGGCCGGCGGCCTGGCCCTGGCGAGCGCTCCCTGGCCTGGCTTGGCAGCGTCTGCCCGCTTGCTGCATCCTTACGTGGCACCGGGTGTGTGTGGAGTGGGCGGGGGGAGGGGGGCGAACCAGCTTCCACTCATGTTTTTTTTGTTGTTGTTGTTTATTGATGCACACAGAACTGGGGTGCCAGCCAGAGGTGCATGGGTGAGAGGACTCCCCAGAGACAGTGGGGAGCAGAACAGGCTGATGGAGGAAGCCCAGTGCTGAGGGGAGCAGCGGGGAGACAGGAGGGGCCTGCCGCGCCCTGGGGGTCCCCTGCAGGCCGGGGATGGGGCTGGAACACAAGCTTGCAGGGCTGCGTCCCAGCCCGCAGCGCCACCAGGGAGGCCCCACTCGTGTTTTTGAAATAAAGACGCTGGGCTGTGGGGTCAGGGCACCCCCTTGTGACCGCACTTAGTTGAATTGGCCCGCAGGTCCCGTCCAGCCGCAGTGGAGATGAGCGTGCGGCAGGTTGTGAGGTTCAGAGACGCCCCTGGCGCTAAGCAGAAGCCCGGGTCTCCCCGGATTTATGTGCGCCCATACTGGGGTAGACAGAAGGGCGGGTTTGCTGTCACCCTACCTGGGCAGGGGGCCCCGGCGAGCGTGAGCGGGCCGGGTGGGGGCTCGGGCCTGAGCCGGTGTGCTCAGGTGAGGCTCAGCTCACCGAGGACAGGAACGTTTTGTTCCTGTGGAGTTCTGTTTTCCCTCCTGCTCATTTGTTTTGCAAATTGCTTCTATTATCACACCCCTCTGTCCAAAAATAAAAAATAAATTTTCTAGGGAAGCGCTCGAGGGGATTTTGTGCGAAAGGTCTTGGGGAAATCACTGCCAGTGGCCTTTGACGGGGTGAAGCCTCCTCCCAAGGCCCTTCGCTCTGCCCCCCTCGGCCTCCGCCCCCCGCGGCCTGCAGGCGCCAAGGACTGCTTAGGGGGCAGTTGGCGTTGGGGGGCCAACCCCGGGAGCATGCCTGGCCCCGGAGGGGCGGCCCTCTGACCGGCCCGGCCGAGGGGTGGCCTGGCTGCCCCAGCTGGCCCCGATCTGTGTTGTGAGGCGCCTGCATCCGCTGGGCTGGCCGGTGGGCGTGTGGGGTGTCGGGGCTCCTGCCGCCCTCTTCGCGCCCCCCC